ACATTTCAGCAAAACATAAGCTATGTTATATATTGTTAGAATTTCTCGTACTGACTTCTTCATGGTTCTCATAAAAAAAGCAGGCGGTTTTTTACTTTACTAAATACAAAAGTATACATTTACTTTTTCAAATTCGACCCCTCAAACTATTACAAGTAATTGCTTACCAACCGCTTTCTTTATATCTGTTTAGTGTACCAAGCCTACCTCAATCTTCAAACAAAAACCGATTTATCCTTGGTCCTTTTATATATAGTATTACATTGTAAATTTTCAATCGTGTAAAATCTTGTACAACTTATTTCCAATCCTGCACTGATCAGCATCAAGATAGGTAGGAATTCCATCGATATGGCTTTTACATCGAGATGCATATAATTATATATATTTTTATAATTTTACCGTTTAAAAAATTTAAAAAAAAGTTCTCTTTTCGAGAAGAATTTTCTTCGTAAATATTTTGCACAATATACATTCTGAACGTAGCCGCCAGCATGCAGCACCACGCAACGTGCTAAGTTGCAATTCTCACTGCCACCCTTAACGCGGTGACGTGCAATCGATAATCCGCGCTGAAGACATACCCGGGCGCAATCTGCGACAACATGCTTACCAGAAGGTGGTGAACCGGGACTATTCTCAGATATCGCCGTTATTGCTGAAGGTCGGTAAGATTGCAGTAGAAAAAGTCGCACGGCGGAGGTGGTGCGATTACGCGGAAAAGTACCGTACTTACATTTCATTTTCGCCAAATACTTCTTTCATTTCACTTGCTTTTCCCTCCGATAGATGTCACTGTTCGCAACATTACACAAAAGGGGTTGCAAAATTGAAACTGCACCAGTGCGACGTTCCTTTCGCCGGTAGAATTCTTTACCTTCTCCTCGATCTGCATACATCATATGAAATTAATTATCTCGATAGGAAAATTACTGAACTGCTTATGCAAATGAGTATAGAATTATATTTAGTTTTCATTTTTATCTTTCTCATGTTTTCTCACACATTTTAATTATAAGTTTGTATATAATTCATAAAACATTTGTTTACATAGATCTGCAATGCGCTGCATCTAGAGTTGTAAGTGTAACAATCTTCTCACATTTTAGAGTTCTTTAAAATTATTGTGTTGTAACGACGACCTTATATAAATAGTATTACGTTTTGATAGCACAAGATAAATAGCGCATAATAATTATTAATATTGCATTACTAATTACTAATTTTGCAAATTAACGAGATTTAATCAAAACTTTGTAGAAATTTTATTATATTCTTTTACAGATTTGATGAAAGTACTTGTCGAATATCTAGATAAAGACGATATTTGTAATAACTGGCTTTCTCGTAAGTAGTATAATTAATATAATCGTATTGATAGTATCATTTCAAAAGTACCAACAAACATTTCGGTATGTAAAATGAAAGCGATTCGCATTAAAAGCAGTTTAATTCGAAAATTATATCTTATTGCTTTAAGGAAAACATGACTTGAAATCAAATAATATAAAATATACGTAAATAAAAATACTCTGTAATTGTGTGTACGGTTTTATCTGTTTAAATGTTATATAATATTTAAAATTATAAATTTATTTATTGTAACATTTACTTTAATATTCTTTGTCTCTTTCAAAAAATATAATAAATATAATAGAAATATTAAATTTATATTAAATGTAATTTTTCATCTCCGTTATTTGCTTTTTAAAATACTCAGTACAATTTATAAAACGTCGTACAATTGCCGTACAATTTATAAAACGTCGTGAGAGAGACGATAATGCCGCGTGAGCTTTAGAATAAAAGAAGCAAAGAAAACTTGAATTGACAGGTAACAAGATAAATTCAAACGAAACCACGTTTTCAAACCCGCTTTCTAAACAACTACGCGAGCAATAATAATGATGTTATTGTCTAATTAAAATCCTATTAATTTCTTTTCTAATTTTCCTCCTAAGAATTACTATATTTATAAAGAATCACTTAAACTTAATGTCAATGTTATCGCTCAATTAAGTTTATTATTTAATTCAGTATTTTGATTTCTTCACTCAAATACAATTAAAGTAAAGAATTACCGGATTAATAAAAAATCGTCCTGTCATCATAATAGCATTAGTTAACACTACGATAAATCGAATTTCATATTTGAATAATCAAGTATCGGAATATTGACAGGTATACATGACAATACAATGGATATTTTAAGAATGAAAAGCTTTAACTGTCTATACCGCGCCAATCGTATAACGAACAGAAGCATTATTATTCCAGATCTCTTTAAATATACAAATTACGAATGAATTCTAATATTTTCATTGATAATTATATTTTTAAAAGAGTTATGCCATTTCAGCAAAGCACCGGCAAATAAAATTTCTTGCAACGTCGTAATTAAATGACTCATCATCATGCGATAAAGAGAAGATTTAATATATATATGTGAATCGCTAATATAGAAAATACTTCGTAACCTAAACGCATTTCATATTCATATCCATAAAAATCTATCGAGCAAGAAGATTCGAGAGCGCAATTATTGTACAATTATTGCGAACCCGACAAGTTTTACAATCGAAAATCACCTGTGCGATGAGCTCTAAGTCCCAAAACTGTCATCTTTCGGAATTTTAGCCACGTGTCTCGCGTCTGCCTCCGATTATCCAGCGTCGCGGTGCGAAGTCTCGGCTGCGCCAGCGCAAGCGATCGATATCCCAGACTGCCGGGGTTTTCATCTGTCCGCGTGACGTCATGTTGCGCGAACCGAACCAAGAGACGACAGGGGCCGTAACCTGCCGAGGGTGGCCGAGAACGGTGTGAGTCGGGTGGTGTGAGCAAGCGAGCCGTCGACGCGAGAACGGGCTCGAGTATTACCGTCGTTTTAACGTAGTGGCGTCCACTACGTCGTCGCCGAACGTTTCTACGCGGCAATCTTCTCGCGTCGCTCGCTAATCGCGTCCGCGAATCTTCCGATGAAATGAAGCGGAGAGATCGTCGAAATAATTCGTTTCAAAAATGTGCCGATGAATTTTTAATCGAAACAAGCGGCGGAGGCGCAAGGTCGCGACGACCTTCGAACCGAGCGATCGTTTCACAGAATCGGTCCAGATTTCGCGGAGCGAGAGCGAACACGATCGGCTGAGACATTCGTCCTATCTGTCATGCCGCGCTTCGTTCGCCTGATAACGTTTTGCCGGCGCTTTCCATTGACGCGCGTACGATTTTCGTGCCGGTGCACGCAGTGGAGAGTGGACGAAGGAGAGCGGCACCGGCGCTCTCGTCTGATCACAGGCGAGCTGCAACCCCTTCGGGTCGCGGCGCAGCTGAGCTCGACCGGGCGCGACCCACAGCCCTACATTCGCGGTCTGCGGCGTGACCTAACTTCAACTCACCCCACCTTAGACGAGCCTCGTCACCACCCTCTCTATTCCGAGAACACTGTCACAGAATCTTACGCATTGGCTTTTCCTCTCGTTAACCACGCACTTTTACGCAAATTAATCGATAGTACATTATATGATCTATTTTTTATCTTATTCCCGTTAATTTTATACTTCGAGAGTATTTTTATTATCGAGAAGAGACTTCTCTCAGATATGCAGCTTCCAGAATCTTTTATTAACAGCTCTTGTGTGTTTAAAAAAAACACACAAGTTTTGTTTTAGGTTCTTAAATTTTTCTCGCAGAAATTATTTAATTTAAATAGAAAGTGGCTATACATCCGTATTTTTTCACTCTCTTTCTTTCTCTTTTTCTATAGTTTTAAATATACTGACGAATAAGAAATGTATTAGAGATTAGACTGTATGCGATATAAATTTAATTAATTATGTAGCTGACCTTGGCGAAAAATCAATCATTCATGTAACAACAGTCTAGGGACAACGCCTTCTGATGATAGTGCCATTAATTAACGAACAAACGAATTGACGGCCGCAAGTCGACCTCATTATCATTGTAACGATCATTACGATAACAATATCGCACCGTTGAATACGAGAACTTTATGAGAAGTTCTACTTTAATATTCACCCGAGACACTGTGGCTGCTCTGAAAGATACATTCCCGCACGACAGAGAGAGAGAGAGAGAGAGAGAGAGATGCACTTTCATATTAACAGCTCACCAAAATGCCATTTTCTCGATCAGTAGCTGCAATTTTTCTCGACTTTTAAATATTCTCGTAAAATATGTTATCATTTTATGTTGTTCGAATATGACAATATCAAGATACATTAATATTTAATAATATATAATATACGACTTTATAAAGAAACGTGTTAAACTTTGCTTAATTTTATAATTAAATTATCAACGCGATAACGTACATTTATTGCAAATATAAATTCCGCTCACATAAACACAAAGCATCACAAATAATATTCTGTTTTTGAGATTCTTACAATACTACGAGGGTCGAATCGAGTTATATACAATTTTGCGAGTAAATAAATACAAGAAAGAAAAGGCAGTTCTAGAAAACAAACTTTGAAGAATATCAGGTAAATAGTGCGCGACACGACGAAGAAAGCATATAACGCATTAAATTCTTTGATTCCACAAAATTGAGTTATCTTTCACGTAAACAACAAAGTTGAGTTTACGATAAGCGAGCAAAATGAAACAGTGTCATAGCATCGCGCAGCTTTTTTAGTGCGTGTAAACAACATCGGAGACCGACAGATCATTGCGTTGTGTTGTATTTAACACATATTACTGATTGAGAACGGTAATAAATTCGACACACGTGTTACTAATCGCGTACAATCGATAAAACGTTGTATCATGTGTGTTGAAATATTATGTAGATAGCTATCTTATTTAAATAATTGATCAACTTGTAGCTAAATTAATGGAATAATGTCAATTTTCTACTTATTTAAGCACAACAATGATGAAATACAATTAAATAATTTCTACTAATTAAAGTTACGAGTAATGAATAATTTCTATTAACAAAATTATATAATTAAAAATAGATTATTATTTAAATATGTAGAAAAACGCAACAAATATAAAATATAAAATAAAATTATATATTTGATGGAAGCGAAGGAGAAGTAAAAGATTAACTATATTAATGTTATCGCAATAACTTGTGATATTATTGTTTTGAGACTATTAAATAAACTTTACTTGAAATCTGAATTTAATTAACGTACTTATTTCAATTTATATTAATTTTTAAATAAGTGATAAGCGCATAAATTGTGGTTTATCACAATTAAAATGCATTAAAAAGTTAAAATTGAATTCTAATTAAAATTAAATGCCGGATTTTTGGATAATTTTATATTCAAAAAATTTCAATAGTTAAACATTCTTCATATTTTAAACATAATGTTAAACATACTTTATCTTATCATGTTATATAACTTTATAAATAATTATTGACTGATACGAGCAGTTTTAAAGGAAGTCGTGGTCAATAATGTCAATATATACTTTGCGTTCTTATCAGCAATATATAAATGCAATTTATAATTATGGAAGAAATATTTATCAATTTCTGAAACCGTCAAAAATATGTATAAATATTATAAATCTATTACCATAAATATTATAAATCTATTTTACAAAACAAAATTATTTTTATAATTTCTACCTAAACTAAATGTGTTTTGCAATTAACAAAAATATATTAATTATCCGCATCACTATGCGACAATGCAGATATAAAAATGTATATATTCAACATATACAAAGAGGTGTCACGTTCAATCTTAATTGAATTTATTCTTATCAGTTTGCAGATAGCCGTATCAACTCCACCGCACGACTCACTTCTCCGAAGTTAACGTACCATCCTCGCTATCAACAATACGGCATTCATCGT